TGGTGACAGCCGTGAGCCCCTTCTTTTTTTTTCCTGAATGGTGACCGAGCCAGTCTGTGCAGATACCGTTCTGTGAGAGGCATTTGCTGTTCAATGCCAGTATTTTTGCGACTTGCAGAAAGGATAAATAGAAAGCCTTTTTCAGAAATGATTTGTTCTGTAGATAGATGTCAATTAGTGAAATTACTGTATTTCTAAAGCAGGAATTTAAGTATTTGCATGATACTTTGGAGTTTCAGAGTGGCACCTGAGCAACACCCGAGTAGTAAAACTAACCCTTGTTTTGGTGTGCATTTCCCCTTGTTCAGCTACCATGGAGAATAAAGAAAGTAATCCTAAGGATGCGAAGAGCACCTCAGATCAAGATGACAGCAGAGGCATAGTTCAGCAGAAAACACAGGAAGAAATTCTCTTTCATGAGGAAACTATTGATCTTGGTGGGGATGAATTTGAGTCTGAAGGGAATGAAACTGTGTCAGAAGACTCAAATAATTTTGTGGATAAACTTAATGAACAGATGATGGAGAGTGTCATTATTTCAGATTCTCCAAACAACAGTGAAGATGACACAGGTGAACTTGGTTGTCTCCAGGAGATTGTAGAACAAATGGAAGTTAAAGATAATAAAAAAACACAAGCAGAAGTGAATAAAGAAGAGTTTTTAAGTAATGAGAGTGAAACTGAACATGAAGAAACCCCCAAAGACATCTCTGAGATTGGAACAGATGATCAGGCCTCTTTAAAGGAAGAATCAATTCAAGAAGCAGTGAAGGAGGAACCAAAGTTGGAAAACAATGTTCCTGTTGAAGCAGAACCAAATAATACTGATGAAAGCAAACCTGAGGACCAGATATCATCACCCAGTACTAGCAAACCGTCTTCTGAGGCTGAGCCTATCCCTGTGTGTACCATCTTCAGCCAAGCAAACAATGTTAATAACCAGCCACAGTTGTTCCTACCTGACGGCTTTGAGCCTCAGATGGTAAAATCTCCCAGTTTTAGTAGTATAATTGAGACTCCAGTGAAGTCTAATCCACAGGTGGTTCAACCAAGCCCTAGTCTAAGCAAGTTCTTTGGTGATACTGTTAACACTAATACGTTAGCTTCTGATTTTTTTGATTCATTTACCACATCCAATTTTATTTCTGTTAGTAATCCCAATGCGAACTCATCAGTTCCAGAACAAATATCCTCTCTTTCTAATGGTGGAGACAGTACCTGTGCTTCATCTAACCCTACTTTCTCTGTGCGAAACAGGAGACCTGAAGCAGGTGGTCCTCCATCATCTCTAGAAACCACTCAGTCCCCCAAGCCATTCTCACAAATCCAAGCTGTTTTTGCTGGCAGTGATGACCCATTTGCCACAGCCTTAAATATGAGTGAACTAGATAGAAGAAATGATGCTTGGCTTCCTAGTGATGAAACCAGAAATGTTCTAATTTCAGTTGCCACACAACAGTACAGCACCGTGTTCGTAGACAAAGAAAATCTCACCATGCCTGGATTAAAATTTGATAATATTCAGGTAAGATTGTTCCTGTATCTTAGTGTATTGTTGTATTCTAGAAATACAAGAACTGTCCAATAATCTCTATATCATAGTGCTTCATATTGTTACTGATGGTCACCTTGTGTGTATTGCTTCAATCCTTATTAGAAAATTCAGTGTTGCTGCCCTCTCATACATGAAGGGGTGAAAACCGGATCTGATTTATTTATAGTGAAATTTGTTGGGTGCATTGAAAACCAGTGTTGACAGTTTGTGTAGCATCCAAAGCTGGTTGTATTTTTAAATAGTTTTTTTCTGGTCTTCTTAATCAGTAAGATAATGCTCACGTTTGGAATATATATAAAATCAGTATGCAGCACTACAAAGTCTGAAAGCAGGCAGCTTTGTTTGCTTGTGGAATTCGCTGTTGCACCCAAGTGGGAAGTAACATTTTTTACTGATGTTCCAAGTGCTCTCTATAATGTTAACGCTGATTGAAATTACATCACTTACATCTTCCGTAAGCAGTGGAAAGGTGTAAGCTGTAAGAAAGATTAAGTGCTGGAGCAAGCTACTAGGAAAGGATAACCCCCAAATTAAAGGGGGATTATGACATCATGAAGGGAAAAACATAGTAGTAGAAACTCATTTCTTTCTCTTCTGTCAGAGTTCCCAACTGGTGAGAAGGCATAAAGTGGGATTGGGTTTTTTTCCAGAATTTGAGAAATTTCACTTGGATCTATTCAGTATTTCTCATGGAGCTATTTCATCCTGGCTGCTCAGACAAGGCTAAGTATCGTAATGGAATTTTTTTGGTGAAATAAGCTAATCCTATTCCTTCATGTCTTATGTCTGTGGATAATAGTATTGTTGTCTGAAGAGATGGTGTTGAGGATTTGCGTGCTTTAATCTTTAATTGTAGCATAGCAAAGATTATCAGTCAGTAGTCAAATACAAGCAGAGAGCAGTCTGCAGTAAATTCCCCATCTGCAGGAACGATCAGAAAGGTTTCTGGAGTGAATCAGGTCCAGATTTGTAGCAGAGTTATCTGACAAATCTTAGGCTTCTGTCACAAGTAATAAATGATACCAGTTTTACACATATGCCATGCTGCTGCTACTTCTCGGGTTAGCTTGATCTTAAAAAATTTCTTTGTCATTACAGAACCCAGTAATTAGCCCAGTGAAAGAAAACACTGTAATAGGAATCCACTCCTCCTCCACTCCTTCCCACCTTCCCCAAAATTCTCTTAGACCTTGATGAGTAAATTCAAGAGCGTGTAGCGTATCTCTTCTGACAGCTAATGGGATGGACAGCAGGAAGGATTCCTTCTGCAGGCCCCAGGGATGAGGGCCCCCTATTGCAGGCCTCGTTTTTTTCGAGTAGTTCTTTCTCACCTTCCTCGGTCCAGTCAAGGATTAAAGACTTGTTTATGCTGATGATTTCCCTGAGTCTGGGCATGTGCATATATGCAGATCTACCATTTAGTACCTAATTGAAAAGAAAACATTATGGCAATGTTCATGGGGTGGACATTGCCATGTTTCTACAGTAAGACCTGATGTAAAACCATCAGT